TAAATATATTAATATTATAAAAATTAATTTATTTAAATAATTAGAAAAAACAAAAAGAAATTGGAGAGGAAGTGTGCCCACGTGGCTTTCAAATGGAATTGCAAATTTTGCAATTCCAAATCCTACATGGCAGCAATCACATTCAAAATTGTATTTGCAATTCAAATTGCAATCCATATGAAAGCCCTGTGTGGGTGCTCTAAGTTGATACGTGACCTTATCTGATTATTGTGGTCAGGCTCGTTTCTGACATTTTTTAGGCCCTGGACGAACGTAAGAGCAGGCCCCCTGTAAGAAACAAGGTTTTTAGCAACGACTTTTGTCGTAGCTAAATGTCCATTTATCATCAGAAAGAGTACACCAACAACATGTCGACGCTATAACTTGTGAAGGAAACATGTTATCGCTAAAAGGCACATCGTCAAAACTCACTTTTCTTGTAGTAACATTCGGTAAGTACGAAAATAAATTCAATAAATGTTTTTTATTAGTATAAAATTGAGTACAATAAATGCTAATAATTTACTGAGGAAATAAATCTTATTTATCTTTATTATATATATAAGAGAGTACTTAAATTTACGTATTTCTTATTAGGTAATTTAAAACCAAGAGTATAGAAACTATGGTTGATAAATTTTTATAAAAAATAATAATTCTTTTAGTTCATAACAAGAAATATATGTTATTTTGATATAAAAAGATAATTCGTGTGAATGAAGTAATCATTAGAGTCAATGAGAGATCAATTATAAATAAATTATCAAGGTTTTCTTGACAAGTAAACAAATTAGGATCAATAAAAATATAAAAGAAAAAAATGATCCATTGAGATCCAATAAGAATAAATAATGAAATTAACATATAATATACAAGCTCAACAAATGATTGTTTGARCACTTAAATAGAATCTTRTGGTGTRGTGGAATCCCAATGAAAGATACATAAGTCAAACAATCGATGAAAACATTTAAATTATATTTTCCTTCTTTTTTTGCTCAACTAAAATAAGATATTAAGATTTTTTTTATTAACCTGGATATCCAACCCGCTATGCGAACCGACTAATTCCAGGACGACCACCTGCTTTGCAGATAGCCCGGAGTCACCGCATTTGAACCTCCGTAGCCACAAGGGGATTTTTATTTCTCCTTGGATTTGAACCTGAGACCTCCTGGTACTTTTGACCTTTGGAGCCAAACTCAAACCAATCAGGCACCACCCTTGTGGTTAAGATTAAAATTTTATGGAACATGATATATATAAGAGACATTATTAAATACATCTAGTAGAAAAAATTTATTGATTAATTACAAAACCATGAAACAAGTCAAAAATTATAAGAACAATAGATTGATTGTCAAATAATAGTAAAATATTTTATGTAGAAGCAAAAATAGATAACAATAGTCAATAAAAACAATTAGAACAAGATAACCAAATAGCAATAGTCAATAAAAACATAAATTGATAAAATATCCAAAAAATATATATAACAATAGCAAGCACATGATCTTAACTTTGAATTATTGAAGTACGAAAACAGTCAAGTTTTTAGAGATAGCAATARCCAATATCATTGGACCTTGTTGGAGATAAAAAAAAAGTAGAGAGGAAATAAACAATAGCATATAATGAATGACCAATTAATTTTTTTTCTTCTCTAATGTAATTAGTTGATATATTTTTAAGCCCTTATTTTCTACTAAATTCTTTTTGTCTCTAATTATATGTTACAATTTTTGGATTTCTTTAATTTATTAAAATCTTTTAGACTACTATTGTAATTTAGGGGAAAATTTTGGGCCTCTGATATTTTTGGCCCTGGGCGTGCGCCCGTGTCGCCCTCCCCCAGGGACAGCCCTGATTGTGGTTGTTTGAAGGTATCTATTTTGTGATTAAGGTGAGTTTTACTTTCAAAAACATTATTTAAATATGTTTTTGGTGAAGAAATCGTAGGGTTTCATACATGGGTTTTGAATATGTTATATGTTATTTTTAACATAATTTTATGTTTTGATATGTGTTTATTATCTAGTTGAAATAAGGGTAACATAATCAGGAGAGGTATATTTTGAGATAAGGGTGGCATGAGACATATACTGGAATAAGGATGGCATAACCAGGTGAGACATATATTGGAATAAGGGTGACATAATCAGGTGAGACATATACTAGGATAAGAGAGGCATAATCAGGTGAGACATATATTGGGATAAATGTGACATAATCAGGAGAGACATATACTGGAATAAGGGTGGCAAAGTCAATTTTATGTAAAAATGGGATTTTGATAATATGGAAACAGTTATCGCATTTCTTATGATGCAATGAGTGTGAGCTATCGCATATTTATGATGCGATGAGTTGGTTTTATCGCATCCTTATAATGGAGTAAAAATGTTTTCGCATCAATGTCATGCAAGGAATGGATGTTATGGCATCAATGTGATGCAAGAAATAGGATTATCGCATCAGTGTGATGCGACAAGGTGGGATTATCGCATCAGTGTGATGCGACAAAGTGAGGTAATCGCATCCATGTGATGCGAGGAAATGTAATATTGCATCTATATGATGCGAGAAATGGAACAACTCATCATGTACTAAACAGTGCTAACAACAAGGTATCATACTTCCACTTACATCTTGTATCAAAAATTTACAAACATTCCAAGTATATTTACATATGATAAATCAACAGTATGAGTTAACAAAAGTTTTGTCATAATAAAATTTTCTTCCAAAATTCTTCTACATCTTCCCTTTGCCTTTATCATGAGATGTTGGATGACCTGCAAAACAATTTATTACAACAAATGAGGGTTAGACCAAAAGGTCTAGTGAGTGAATTACCCTCTTACAAACATAATCTACTGCAAACCCCAAAATCCCAGTTCCAAGAGCAGTTTTAGTGTTAACGTTATAAGGGCTATGCTTTGTTTGCGCTGCAAAAGACATGCATTGTCGTCAAAAGCATGAGTCTACCGACACTAAAAAGTAGCTGTCACAAATTTTGCTCGAGCTTGGGAGCCTTTTCACTGGACCAAGCAACTTGAATAGATTTCTCTAGGATCTGTTTGCATAAGAACCTAGAACACTTCTTAATGATTTTTAGCGGGTGTTTACTTAGGACTTAATGAGCTTAATGAGTAAATGGGCTTATTCACACAACCAAAATGATGTGTTTACTTGGGGCTTATTGCACAGAAATAGGCTTATTCGCAAAGATGAGAAAAAGCTCTTGTCCACCATTCAGCCAAAAAAAGGACAATCCTACCCCTTGATTTAATAAAGCACGCCAAATCAAAATATTAGAACCCTAACCGCATATTATCTTCATTTTCACAATTTCAAGCTCTCCAAGCCCAAATGTATTGCTATCTCCTCCAAATCAATCACGATTTCAAGCTCTCTTCTCCAAAGGTCACGATTTCTACCCACTTGATTGACGATTTCTGCACACCCATTTCTCCAAATCCATTCTGCACACTCAATTTTCTTCACAATTTTCTTCACGACTGTTGCACGATCCAGATTGAAGATCATTATGATCGTTGATTGTTGCACGAGTTGTTCACGAGTTCATGATTGTTGCACGAGTTCTTCATGATTGTTGTATGTGTTTACAATAGCTGTTTTTGCTTGGTTTTTGTTGTTTTTTGCTTGGTTTAATAGTATGATTTTGCTTGATTGTTGCTGTTTTTGCTTGGAGAAGAAGAATTGGATAAAAACCCAATGGGGTGCAAATAGCCTTGATATATAGCCATTTTGTGGGATGGAATTGCAAATAGTTTGATCACTAATATTTAAATTTTAAGTAGTTGTGCTTAAACTTGGATTTTTAAGTATTTGATAAATTTATGTTTTGATTTTTGGATGATATCAATGAATTTATAAATTTATGTTTTGATCTTTGGATGGTATTAATGAATTTATATTTTGATTTTTTTTTTTTTGTTTAAGAATATCATTTGTCTTAAAAAATAAACAATAATTTATTAAACAGCACGCAGTTCATACTCAGGATTTCTGTTATTCAAACTATTGATTTATATAGAAAAATAAATAACATAAAACAAATTTATCCATACAAGATTTAATTGAAAATTTGGTAAACCACCCCTTAATTTTATTTGAAAGCATGTGGTAAGGATCTTGTTAATATAATTCATAAAGCAATTAAGATATTTCAAACCGGAAATAAATGGACGCCAAAAATCACCTCATCTTCAAGCACACTGCACACTGCACACTGCATTTATGCCAGGAGGCTGGTTGGAGTTTAAAGACCAGCAAAAATGTTATTTTAGCCTACGTATTCAAGTGTAAACATACAGATTCTTTTTGCATATTTTAAACATCTCTTCATGGGATTTACTGATCATGTTGTAAAAATACACACAAGAGATTAAGTGAACCTCAATGTTATGTATTACATAATATAAAGAATTCTTCAACATGATACACGTGTAAAAATAGTACAGGTTTAAGGAAGTAAAGCCATTTGATAGATAAACAGGTAGCATGAACAGAAGAGAAGAAAGGCAGGTGAAGCATCTGAAACCGACCGTTTTAGCAATAACATCACCATCACCGGTCTTTCCATGCAGTACTCCCTTCCATCCATGCCACCAGCATCCGCAGATCTGCTTGTCGATTCCAAAACCATACAAGATTGAAACGGTAGCATATCCATGAATTTTTGGTATTCAAATTTATGGATATTTAGGGGTCAAATGTCAGCTGACCCCAACTCTCGGGAATATATCCGCCCGAGTTTGAACCCGACCTCCTGTACGGATGACCACCATCCTACAGTTGAGGCAACACCCGGGGGACTAGATTGAAAAAAGAAAGCAAATAAGCAAACCGAATACCTTGGGAGGGCAGACTAGCCTTGTGACACCATTGTGTACAGAAAGATATGCAACGCTTTCTGTCCAGATTTTCGTGAAACCTTTCGTAGGTTTTTCAATCATAGTTTGAAGTGGACCTCCATAATGAAGCCTCATCAAGCACTTGGGATTTACTTGACAACCTAAAGTGGACGGAGAAGATCATTTAGCTCAATGAAGTCTTCTTCCAAGGCCAATGGATTCATCTGCATATATCCATGAATAAATATCATAAACTCCATATGATGTAACACTTCTATATATATATATATATATATACACATGGGTAAGGTATCATGTATTTTTAGGCTTTTCAAGTTATTTGAGTTTCATTTTCTTTTAAAAGATCCTGTTCCTAATTGAAAAGCATTTAACTTAATGGCCCATTTGGATACATACAAGTATTATCTATTATCCTAGTACCACACTCCATCAAGCACATAAATGAGAACAAAGCAGAAAAACATCAATAAATTCTTAAGAGCGTATATTCTGTACATTCGTTCTTCTCATATAATTCCAAGGCAATTGCAATTCCATGCCCTCTTTCCTGACTTCATTACAATGACAACCATAGTTACAACTGCCAGTGAGCAGAAAATACCAATGGAGGAGAGAGATTTAGATAATAATAGGTCCCTGGAGATGTTTAACTATAATTTGTAGGGTATGCATATTTATAATATTTCACTCATAATTCATAAATACACTTTGCAAGTGAAATGTTAATGCTATGGTTATGTACTTGATATTACGATTTTACAACATTATAATCGTCCCATGACTTCAATGCTTATATTATCTTCAAAATATTGTTCATATCTTCATGCATTTTAACTGTGACAAAGAAAGCTTATGAGCATGGCTGGGTTCCTATCAAGCTTCACTTGGGTTTGTTCATTCATCATTGGCTGCAAATTCAAGCCACAATTTTCCAGAGGTTCATCAGTAGAAAGTCTGCGTTCCAATAGACTAGAAAATCAGAAAGTGATTTCTGATTTCCCATGAACTGCAAATGTTGTATGATCCAATTCAGTAAGCATTTTACTTTATGTGTATGTATTTAAAGATCAGTTTCAGCATGAGAAACATTCTTTCAACAATTCTGTCTTGGATTTTTCAGGGAATGAGGAAGTAGATACTAAGGGGCTTTTTTACTAAACGCTTACCTGGTAAGTGCTTATCGGGTAATTTTTATGGCAAAGGTCAAAAATCTTACCCAGTAAGAGCAATGATAAAGATGGAGAGTCTTACCCGGTAAGAGAGGGTGAAGACTCTTACCCGGGTAAGTGCTTACCGGGTAAATTGTTGCACACGATACCATTTTGATGTAGTACAATCTTACCTGGTAAAATATATTATAGTGTTGACTCCTAACTGTAAGTGCTTATCGGATATATATCTGAGTGAACGGCCCCTAAGCCAAGCACATTTTCCATTTAATGCAATTTGCCATGATGGGAGTAAATTTAAAATTATTGGTCAATTTTTTAATGAAAATATGGAGTTAGAGCTAAAATTAGGATGCATTTCATATTTAACTCAAAACTGATCTCACAGACACAATATGAAACCCTAGTATTACAATGATAGCTCGGATGAGATTTCATGAAATTTCGACAACATGATGCTGGTAAAGACAATATGAAAAGTCACACGGCAAATAAGTAAGATTATACAAATTAGAATTAAAAATACAAAACAAAATACCATAAAATAGCATTTATTACCATCTTTGAGACAGATAAATTGACAAAAATAAGATTTTAAATACCTGCACTGCAACTAGCAGATCAGAAACTTTACCATTTGAAGTACCAAATCTTTTCAAACAAATATTATCAGCAGAACCAATTGAGCTCACCTTAACCATCCCACTTTCACTGATGAGTGCATCATCACACTGAATACCAATGTGGCGCACTGTTTTAACATTCTCACCACATGATTTCAGGACATCACTTGGGGTGTTGCTTCGGTGGTGAGATTTGGCAAACACTCGGCACAGAACATAAGAAGCTTCTGCCTGATACAGACACCAAACATACAAATAATAACATATTTGTTGATGAAAAAAGACACGAAGAGGACAAGGAATGTGAAACAGCAATGAACATGACACCATTTCCTTCTCTCTTTTTTTTCTTTACAAAAGGACATGTTGATTGGTAAATCAAACCACAATTTTCACATATGTTCACACAATACCAGGTTTTCTGAGCAGTCTACAACAAGCATCACAGCAGAAAAATATAAATAACATTCAGTGTGATTTTCTCAACTTCTTTATAGTAAAACTCACTGAATATTTTATTAGAATGAAATATTGAAATGACAAGAGGATATAGGTCATCCCTCTCCTTTAACCTAACAGGGGATCTTTTCTTTTTTCTTTCACATGTCTCATCAAATAAATAGGGGAATTCTCATTACTAAAACTAGTATAGGGAGAGAGAATTCTAATTTTATGCAAATGTGTACCTGTGTATTCAGAAATCAGAAACAAACAGGAAAGGAAACATGAACATATTAAATATTTAATCTTTCCCCTCCACACTCTTTGGTTGCTCTATCCCCCTTTGCTCATGCTTGTTTAGATATACTTCTACATTATTTGGATCATTGTTGTTCTATCTTTGGAGTTTGGAAAACATGCAATGTGTATAAACATAATTTAAATTAGCTCCGTTATATCATTTCAACCTTTCTATTACCAAATTTATTGAGTATTCTTACAACGTAGATAATCATTCATCTCATTTTCCCCCTCCTGAACTTAAATTCCTCATTACATGAATCATTTGTAGTCTTAATTACTAATTTACTATTTAATAATCTTTAGGTTATCTAATCCTCTTAAGAATTTGGGTAATTTTGAATCTGTGACTGAGGATTCCATGAATTATCTATTTAAATATCCTATGTTTGTTTACCAATTACGTTCATGCCAACAGTCCTATATATAGCCATCGCAGCTTTTGAAGTAAATATATTTCATGTAGCCATCACAGCCTCGCATCGCCAGATCTCTGCTTTGGGTGTGTTCAGTATGAAAGTGAGGAGGTAGTGGTGGTGACATGAGGGTGGCATAATGCTGTTTGTAGTAGTGAGATTGTAGAGGAGATGAAGGAAATTTATTTTGAAGAAACTAATTCTAACATATGAGAAACTAGAAGTGCAATGCTGACAATATACTTTCTTTTTTTTAGATTTTTGCTGTTTATGAAGCTAACTAATATTCCAAACACGCTCTGAGTTCAACACCAAACAGAAATTACAACCTCATTTAGTCAAGGCCCCAAAAAATAGAAACCATCAATTCTTTTTTAAGATTTTTACGGTTGCTAACATATATATTCTAAACACGATACGGGTTCACCACCAAACAGACTATTTTCGCTACATAGTTGAACTAACAACACTTGATAAAAGGCAAGGCCCCATGAAATACTGGTCAAAGGAGCACAACTGGTTTACTATTTATTTCATTGCTTTACTTTTTCATGCATAGAGATGCATCAATTTTCACTCTTGCTTCTGGTGCAGGGAAGTCTTTTGATAACCAGGTTTGAAGTTCAACATTCGAAAAGAACTTATTGGAGATAAATTTTTTACCCTTACTCCAACCAGCTTTATTTCACATGCTACTCCTACAATCTCATAATTATACAATACCAGGCTACCAGCATGTCTTTTGCTTAATGATTCACAATAAATGTGGTAGTACATTCTGTTTATCATGCCATATCATGGTCCTTGAATTACATGACATTTTGGGTTGACAAGGAAGGACAAAGAGAGGAAGTTGCAAGTTGCAGAGATGCAGATGCTTAGATGGACTTGTGGCAGACTATGTTATACAGGACACCAGACGAGATCTTCTAGGTGGAGTTGGGGCCTATCACGGATAAATTGGGAGAGGGAAGACCACGGTGGTTTGGACAAGGTCATAGGAGACTGATGGTGGCGTCGGTAAGGAAAGTAGAGAGTGTGACGATCGAGGACGTGAGGAGGAGGCCGAGGAAGGCGTGAGATGAGCAGTTAAGGATGGACATGGTTGCCTTGGACGTTTCCACAGACATGCTCTGATAGGATCTCTTGGAGACATCGGATTAGAGTAGTAGAGTTGAGTGTAGCCATGTAGGAAACTAGACCTAGTGTGACTAAGGCTAAGAAGAAGGGAGTTAGTGAAGTTAAGGTGGAACATCGGGAAGGTTAGCTGGCAAATAAGGTTGCAGGGTCCAATGATAGATGGAGAGATGTGTCTTTTTCTTTAGTTATAGTATATTTAATTATACCTATTTCGTTCGTTGCTTCTGTTTTTTCTACTGTTGACTGTTTACTAACCTTTGTTTCTATCTTTTTTTCTTCCTCCCTTCTTTGTTCCTTCTTATCTCTTCCTTTTTGTTCACACTTGTGCACAAGCCGGTGGTTTTCACATAAACAACCACTTCATCCTTTGGGGTAAATGACAGGTTTGCATTCATCCTACCATACTAAGCATGGTATTATTATTATACTATTATTCGAACCTTCACATCGAACCAAAATCATGCTAACCAAAGCTTTGGTCTTTGTGGTCATTGTCTTGATTTAATGGCTTCGGTTATACCTTCTCCATCCAATAGCAAAGTTAACACTTAACAGTCAAAATTAGTTTGAATTTGATTTGTCTAGACATGTTTGTTCATCTTTCTGGCCCATCAGGAGTACTATGTAGCATTAACTAATGTTTTCCCTCAGCAAATAGAAAAGCAATTAAACTAATCTAATTCACTTTCCTAAACCGACCAAAATTGACCTAAAACAAACTAAATGGACTTAATTTGACCTAAATGGTACTAAACAGAACAAAACTCAGAATAAGCAGCCTGAATTCAGCTAAAGCAACCTAAATGGAACAAATGAAGATATGCTACAACTATAAACCAAACCAAGCAAACTCCCTATATCCAACTCGGAAGATCCATTACTATGATGAATATAAATGCACCTTGAATATTAATGTAAATGGACTAAAAAACGATACATAAATTAATCTAAACCCATGTTGGACTGGAACTGCAAAGAAAAACCTAGATCGTGAAATAAAGTGAAGTTTAAGAAGCCATGAATCATTTGAATGAGCATAGTTTGATTTCTGAACCCCATTTCTTTGGCATCAAAATCGAAGACCACTCTCGATGCGTAGCAGTTTTAAAACAGCACACGGCAATGGCGATGAATTTGATCACTATTTCACGGATGAATTCAGTTCCTCAACACAAAAACCACATATAATTCGCTATTCATACAAACACCAACAAATTAAGACTTGCATAGAACAGATTAATGCATTCAAAGTAGAACAAAAAGAGGCATGTGTAGAAGTATTACCATTTTTTGATCAACCAACGCATATTCGTACATGATCCACTTGGTCCTCACAGCAGTCTTGGGCGAATCACCCAAATAAAACACAAAAGTCTTCCGCGTCCCCAGCACAACCCCTTGTACACCCGCACCCACTATATCCTTCACCGAACCACTCCGTTTCCAAATCCCGCCACCGGCTCGTCTCTTCTCCCCTCTTCCTCTCTTAACCCTAGGCATGGCCGCGAAACAATACCAATGCTTGCGCTTCCCTTCACGCCCAAACAAAAAGCAGGCCCTCCCCGGCAAATCGAATGGTTCGAAACGATACAGATCGATCTCCTCAATTAAGTTGGATCCGAGATGATCACCACTGTTTTTGAGGGCAAGGTAGTGACAGACGAGCTCTTCTTCTGAAGGAAAGAATTGGCAGCCAGGTGGAAGAGGTAAGAAGGCAGGGTTAGGGTTCATCGAGTCGTCCATCTTGTCGGTGAGATTTTGTTGCTCGTAAGGAGGGCTTCGTTTATATGACGATGAAATCAGCGTGTTCCATACGCCACTTGTACAGTGGAAGTCCTCCTTGTCCTGTGTAATCTGAGCGTCATTTGGATGATTTGATCTCACGGTTGAGAAGGGTTTTTTAAGTTTTTCATTTATTTAAGATTTTTATTAAATCTTTTTTAGAAAGAAAAGTTTAATTGTAAACCGATTTCCGGTTATAAGTTGGAGGATAAAGGAGAGTATCACAAGTGTTTCTAGCGTACATATTCAGTATGAATTAATGAAAATAAACGTTCATAAACTATTCATAATGAATAATATACGATCATGATCCATATTTTAATTTGATTCATTATTAACGATAAAAATACACATTTATCATGAATGATACATTATTTATGATGAATAACCTATGAATGTATGAGACACGTGTCATGATTGTTTTTGTCCCCAGTTGATAAAAAACTCTTAAAAACTCATTTTTTATGCGTAAAATACTGTTTATTAATGCATATTACTTAAACTCAAGATTGCAAGTAAATTGTGCGTAAGTACAATTTATTAAAGCTCCATATTTGAATTCGTAAAACGAACTGCAGATAAACATAATCAAATACAGGATAAACATCTCATTTTAAATATAAAAAATCTAAAATATAATTAGGATAATAATTGAGTTCTAACAAAATATTTAATTATTATCTTTATAAAATTTATATTATTAAACTAAAAATAAATTACTTCATTATTAAACTTAAATTAAATTATAATAAAAATTAATAAATTAAATAAGTTACATAAAAAATGAGAACTTTTAAATAGTTGATTTGATATTAACATTGATATTTTTTTTTTCAAATTTATATTTTATTCAAAAATAAAATCATTATTGTTTTCTTAAAAACACATAATCTATATTATATTATAAAGCATTTGACAAAAACTCTTAAAAATCACTTTTTATACGTGAAATATTGTTTATTAATGCATCTATACTATATTATCTATATCTATACTATATTATAAAGCATTTGACAAAAACCTTTAAAAACCATTTTTTATGCATAAAGTACTGTTTATTAATGCATATTACTTAAACTCAAGATTACAAGTAGATTATGCGTAAGTACAACTTATTAAAGCTTCACCTATGAATTTATGTAACTAACTGCAGATAAACATATTCAAATACAGAATAAACATCTCATTTTAAATATAAAAAATCTAAAATATAATTAGAACGATTGTTGTTGTCTTGTCCTTATGCACACAAAGGACAAAACTCATACCCCTACGAAAGTTAGTACGATACGGAGCTGATTAGTCGACTCTTTGTCCACCAACTTTAGGTAAGGATGTCTGCTCATAAATAGTGCTTTTTGTACTATTCACTGTAACAAAGAACAAGCATTCCTCTTAAGGCTTGACACGCACTCTAACCCTACTGATAACTCTCATTTTGTTAGAGTTATTTGTTGTTCTATACCCCTATTTTATTGTATCTTTGGTACCCATTTTGCTCATATTCTATATTTTTGGTCCAAAATATGTTAAGAGGTGATGAAAGGTTAAGAATTTAATTATTGTCTAAAAAACTCTTTATTGTTGGTAAATTTGGCATCTAGTTGGATTTGAA